CACACACACACACACACACACACACACACACACACACACACACACAGAGCTGTGTTTTTTTTTTTTTTTTCCCCTTTCCGCGCACGTGCACGTGCACCACTCTCTTGCGCATGGCGCACAGCGCCCCGCACCGCAGTGCGCTGCAACTATGCTTTCCTCTCTTCATCGGATTGCATCTGCCTTTGAGAGATATGTGAATTGCCTGGATGGGTATCGGTGTCTCAACACTTCCTGGGTGCATCAACTGAGCGAGGCTCGTTGGTACGTGAAAGTAACTGATGATAAAAATTTGCAGAGGGAGATTTTGTAACTTAGTTCCTGTAGAAGATATGCTGGATTACCACGGTGGGTTCTTCTTGTTCTTGTTCTTTAAAAAAAAAAAAAAAACGGGCCCAGTGCCCGGGGATGGGTTGTTCTAACTAAACAGTACCCTTTTGAATTATTTAATTGATGTGCAGGTCATAATTGTATTGTGATGTGATTGGTGAGAGGTGCTTGGTGAATCTTTGGCATCAGCTGGGTCAACGCTCAGGGCTTTGTGTAGGCGGTGGTCATGGCCGGCAAGGATTCCAAGGGTGGTGTATTCGGACTGGACTACAGTCGCCGGTACGACCAGAACTGTTATTTGTGCGCGCATAATGCGTATGCGGCACGCAGTTATGGGTGGTGCTATTACCAGCAGACATCGGGAGTGTTCAAGCAGCTTCAGGCTGGAGGTAGGTGACATTGTATGCAGAGTCTGGCCCAGGCCCCATTTCCACAACAATCGAAATGTTTGATGTGCTTTAATTAATAATTTAATATGCATGGATGGTGTATTAGCATGAGCTTGGACTGGGACTACAGTCATGCGAAAGTTGTAGCACAGGATAGCGTCAAGCATTGTCAGGCTTGCCCCTACTCATTATCTCTTCTTCTTCTTCGTCGTCTTCGTCTTCGTCTTCGTCTTCGTCTTCGTCTTCGTCTTCGTCTTCTCTTTTTCATCTCATTCCACGTCTTCTTGAATTGCAACGAAAGGCAGTAACTCAAAATGGAGTTTCACATCAAGAACTGGGCAGGATCATAACCATTGGCATAAGAGCTTACCTTACTTGCCGGTGAGAGGTGGTTAAGTTGGTCTCACCTTAGCTCCAGCCTCCAAGTAATCAGGGGTAATCAATCTGGATTAGCCCTGATTGCTTGTGAGAGGGGAATTTAAGGCGGCAAGAAGAAGTGAAACCGCCTTGACCCTTAACCCAGGAAAGTAACCCAAGATTAATGTAGGTCAAACTCGGATTACGGCAGAATCATGACAGGCTGGGTGGTGAGAGAGAGTAAAGCACCTGTCCCTCTGCTGGCCAAGCCTTTAAAAAGGGAACCAGTGTGGGTGCATGTTTGCCAGGCACCACCAGCCTTTCCCATCCAGTACACCGGATCCCTGGCTTGAGGCACGTTAACGCCCGCACCAGAACAAGATAGCTGGGAAACGGGATGATGCTAGAATGCTGCCTCAGCCTTAATTCCGAGGTAATTAAGAGAGATTAACGTTGGATAAAGGTTGATAGCGAGATTTAGGTGACAGGAGAAGCGATTGTGGGTAGCCAAGAAGAGAGGAGGGGCAGAGCGCGCACGAGCCGGACACTCACACACACACACACACACACACACACGCAGAGAGAGAGAGAGAGAGAGAGAGAGAGAGAGAGAGAGAGAGAGAGAGAGAGAGAGAGAGAGAGAG